ATATAGTTCCTGTTGTGAATTTCTGGCATTTACTGTGTGTCCTGTTTTCAGTACACAAGGACAGTGTTTACTGTTACTGCAGCCTGTGTGTAATATCATGGACATCTTTGCAAAGTTCTTCCTAGATCCCACGTGTCACAAATATTCTGTATAAAAGGCTACTTGGATGTAGTGGTAATTGTTTATTGTGATAGGATTAATCAGTAAGATAGGTCTTCATTTCTGTGTTTCGTTGTTATTCTACAAATATTTACTGCTTTCCTGGTCAGTGTCATACACAGTGACAGTCTCTGGAGTTTACCAGGATCTTCTAGTCTAAAATGAAAAAAAAAATTTAGTCAGGTATGAAAAAGTTGTAGTAACAGGCGCTTCAAAAAGTTGGTAGAAAAATGGAATGAAAATATAATGGAATTTGTCAGCGAACATTTTGAAGCCCCCTTAGTATTTCCTGTCTGTGATAGAACTGTTCATGGGATATATATGTGGTAGGGGGAGGGGGTTGGGAGAAGCTTGAGGGACAGCTTCACAGAAATGTTGATGCTTGAGTAAACACCATTAAGGACAAGTTCTGTATGACAGGAGGCTTAATGCGGTGGAAAGAACTAGGCACGCCTGGCCTGGCTTTGAGTCTCTACCTCACTTCCTAACTGGGTGGCATTGATAAGGGCCCTCAATACCTTTGAACTTGAGTTTTCACATCTGCAAAGTGGAGACATAGGTTTGCTTTTAGTATTAGATATGTTAAACATCTGACACATTGCCTGGTGTATGATTGTTGTTGTTGCTAAGTCAGTTCTGACTCACAGTGACCTTGTGTGGGGTGCCCAAGGAGCATCTGGTGTGTTTGAACCACTGACCTTGGTGTTCAAACTGACCTTGCAGTCCAGCACATTATTCTGCAGTGCCATTCCAGGACTCCGTGGTGTGTGGTAGGTGTCCAGTAAAGGAGAGGCCTTACTAGCAAGGAGGAGAAGGACAGTCCAAGTGTGGGGAGCAGTATTCAAAACCATTGAAATGAGAAATGTCCTAATAGAGTTCTGTCAGCTCAGATTCTTCGATGTAACTCAAAACCTGATTCACATTGGTTTAAAAAATAAGGGAATTTAGTGACTGGCTTTCAGTATGCCTTTAGCCAGTGGCTTAATGATGTTGCCTCGATTTCCCTCATTTTTCCTCATCAGTAGATGGCTGCCCTGCCTTTTGGAGCTACAAACTACATTCATTATATTACTGTCCCAATGCAGTTCACTGTGATGGGGTTAAATTAGGTCACATGGCCACCCTGAGCCAGTCACTGAGTGCCCTGAATGGACACATGTTCTATCTACCCTGACTTCATTGGGACAAATGAAGGAAATGAAGCCAAACCAGGAGTCAGTTCCAAGTCACGACTACCTCATGTGTTGCAGAGTTGAACTGCATGACATAGGGTTTTCCAGATTTGGCTTTTTGCAATCAGTTAACCAGGCCTTTCTTTCAAGGCACCTCTGGGTGGATTTGAACCAGCAACCATTCACATCCCTAAGGAGCATTCCCAAATCAGAAATCTGAGAAGGCAGAACGGATGCTGGAATGGCAGCCATCAACTGTTTACTGCGGAAATGCAGATAGGAAAACAGTATCTGAGTATTTTTTCATTAGAAGGCTATAATGCAGGACAAGAATTTAGTAAGAATGTAATAATTATAGTTAGTGATAATTACGTATTTACTGTTTATATGACATGATATAATGGAAAGAATATGAATTGGAAGTCAGATGTTGACACTGCTACCAACTTTGTGATTTAGGACAAGTCTGAATTCAGGTCAGTTTGTGCAGATGCCCAGGTTGGCCTGGATTCATCTTGTCAGCCTTAGTTTCCTTCTTTGTGGCATTTTGGGTTGTTATGAGGATTGGATAACACTTTCATTGTGCATTTAATTGAACACACACTCTGGTGACAGGGCTAAGCTGTGCAAACGCAAATATGAATGAGGCCTACACGCTGCCTTTAGGAACCTTGCTGTGCACAGTCAGACTGCTGATACACAGTGAATGGAGTCTACATTTTAGGGTGGTCACAAATCTTGTGTCTTTCATTTAGCACTGTCTTCACAGAGTGGAGCCAGCGTCGTACTGTTAGTCTTACTAGGCTTGGAGTTCATCTATCCTTTCCTGTTTGTTTTGTTTACCCTCATGGCTGTCTAGGAGAGATAATAGAATTTAGATTGTGAAATTTTAAAGTAGACTTTAGATTTCTCAGTAAAATGACTTTTTTTTTTCTCTCCCCCCCCTCCCCCCCCACGCGCATGATGGGCATATTCTAACAGATTGGTTTGTTTCGGATTTAGCTATAGAAGTACTTAGAGTTGTGAATGGACATGCCACCCAACAATAAAAAATTGCCTTCATGTTAAAAAACTTTCATTGATTTAAAGACAAGTTTTAGAACAAATTATTTATATTGTAGAGATTGTAAACATTAGTATTATATAGCAAAAATGGTTGTCCTATTCTAAAATAAATGATTCCTAAAATTTTCAGTTGAGTGTTTACATGAAATAAAAAATAACATTTTGAAAAACACTTTGCCACACTTAGTGCTAGGTCTTTTATGTGAAAAGTGCACTTAAATTGGGAGTTTCTCAGTGGATAAATGGGCCAAATAGTAACTTAATGCTCTGTTAGTTTTATGTGTATTTTAATTCTAATCTGGTAATTTATTATAGCATGAATTTTAAATGGTTTAAAATTATTATTCAGAGTTGGGCAGATGAAAATAGCCATTTATTTATATACAAGTATCATTTAGTGTTAGGGTGGATTGTTAATGAAACAGACTTCTGATGCTTGACTTGATGATATTTAGGACTTCATAAAGTCATGGTAGGCACCTCTTTCTTTTTTTCAGTTTCTTTTTGGTGCTACATTTTATATACTGGTGCCTTTTGATAGCATGTCCAAAGTACATGGTACCTCCTGTAATGGGGCATCTTCCAAGATCGATTTCCTTGTACTGGCTATTCATGGTCTAGTCAGTATTCTTCATCAACACCAACATTCAAGGGTAGCAGTTCTTACTTACTCTCCCTATTGTTTAACTTTGTATGCCTATGAGGTGAGTGAAAATACCGTGA